CTTGTCTTGATTCAACTTCTTCTTGTCTTGATTTAACTTTTTCTTGCCTTGATTCAACTTCTTCTTGTCTTGATTTAGCTTTTTCTTGCCTTGATTCAACTTTTTCTTGTTTTGATTCTAGATAGAAAAATACATATTTAGTTATTCTTTTTTTGTTTAATTTGTATCCTTCGAAATTACTGTCATATTTTTGATTTTCATTATCAAACATTGTTTTGAATTTTTCACGTCGTTTTTCCATTAAATCATTTTCATCATTTTTCAAAGTATTTAAACGATTTTCTTCGGCTTGTCGTTGTCGTTTTGTGTCCGATTCTGCTAATGCTGTATCATATTCAGCTAAAGATTGTAAACGTGCTGAAGATGTAATACTACCACTACTACCAGCACGATTTGAATAATCAGGTGGTTCACTTAAGCGCTTTCGACGTTCTCGAAGTTCTTGTACACGACGTGATGGTGATGATGGAATTGTTGATAGGTTTGTATGTTTTGAATGATCATGTTCTAAATCCTATTTGAAAAGAAATTCTTTACTTCAAATCAAATTGATTTAATAGAAATTTATTGATTACTCGAAGACGTTCATAAGCAATACAACCTTGTAAATTGTATCCACTACTCCATCGATCAAAAGCATAAGCAGATCGATATCGACCTCTACCCATTGGTAATAAATCTGTTCGCCAATTAAGAGTAAATTCATCTTCACCAAGCATACGCAAAATACGATTAAGTTGTATTTCTTGTCCAGTTATCTAAATATTTATTAGAAAATTAATCTCTTGTTTTTTTTAATGATTATATACGAAAATTTACTGTTTCATAAGTATTACGTAAAAAATGATAATCTTCTAAACGTTTTTCTGCTCCAGCAGCCATAAAATGTGCAATTAAATGTGGTGTTTCTTCCTGAATGATGATAATAAATTGAATAAGACAAATCGAACAAAATATATGCTAACTCACCATTTATTATTATTAAGATTTCTTACTTAATACAAAATCAAAGAAGAAAAATTGTTAATCTCGTTTAATACATATAGATAAGTGCTTGTTGTTTGTCTAATATAATATGCCTTTAAAGATTTGTACATAAGAGAAAGAGAGAGAAAGAGCTATTTCTAGATTCTATTGCTATTATAATTCACGATCAATATAGAAAGGGTGACAATGAGACAGATGTTGTTGTTATTGCTGGTGCCTATCATGGTGATAGATTGTATCGGGAAATCATCATATCCGTGCTTAATTGAATATTTTCATAGCATCTGTAGGATTTTTTTTTCTTCTTTTCTCTATTATGATCATCAATATCATAGTATAACAAGAACTAGTTCTGATAAT